AAACAAGATGCATTCAAATAAGTCCCCTTGACAACAAGACCAAGTTGTGAAAACGAGAACAACCCACTCCTATAAATCGAAAGGAGAATGCGACCATACCGAGGGTCAAGCCATCTTGATCTTCATATCTTCGACCAAGTATATCATAGATCATAAAGAAGAATCAAAGTTTTTAATAAATTTTTAGGCTATCTTAAGTAATCTCTTGATAAATTCAAATTTGTATTTGTATAAGCTTAAGCTAAACAAAATGGGCACAAAATTTATCAATAAGACTGATTCATTAACAATTTAATGTGAAACCATATACAGTAATGATGATAGTCAAGTTTACGAGCCAACAGTATGAAAAAAAATCAGGAAAAATAGAAAAACCAAATACTTAATAATGAAATGTGGCAAAATAAAAAGTAACTCCTACCAACGACTCCTGATAAGTTTTGAAAGTAAATTGCGGCCCCATCCAAACGCGTCGCAAAGGCCCCATGTGTGTAGTCATCTCGACCTCACTGTACCAAAACGAGGCTACGTCTTCACGAGCCAAACCGCCTGGTGCTGCTGTCAGAACGTCGATAGTCTCTAAACCAAGCTTTTGAGTATTTCCACCGGAAGCTTCTGTGACAAGTCCTAACCCTGCAAGAGGAGAATCAGCCAAGGAAGTTTCTGAAAGCAAAAGACCTCGAACGTGAGCTTTTGTCCCTAAGGAAGTGCGTGAAGTTATGCAAAAAAGTAAATTGAAACGAAAAATCACGCATTATAAAGTGATCACTAGTAAAATGAACATTAAAGATGGGGCTAATGTTCAAGTATAAATAAGAATACAGTTCAAATTACTGTATCAAAGGCAAACAGTTTGCAAGACGTTAAAAGTTTTGCATTTGGCTCCCGACAAAGAGGGGAGCATAAATATGTAGAAGACATGAAGATTGATTGGTCTCAGTCCCTTAAGAGGGGATTTAAAAGGCTAAATAAAAGCTAGAGGCCATAATCTAGAATTCCTGCGAACTGGTTAAAAGAAAGGTAATAAGCAAAAGAAGTTAAAACAAAAGGAAATAGGAGTAATGCAACAAAGGTTGAACAGAGGGTTGGTCAACGGGATTGCTTTCATCTGCCACTTCTCGAGTAATAGGACAGATGACATAGGAATAGGTACGTTCTACAAACTCTCCGAACGCACAGAGCAAGTTGCAAAAACGAGGTTGGAAGCAACCTCAAGGAGACTGCGAACAAACAGAGGGCCACACCATCTTGGTCTTCTATCTGCGACCTAATTACGGTTGTAATAATGCAAGTCAATTCAGTGATTACAGTAGATCAAAGAAAACAATCGTAAGTTAATCCTGTCATGTGACCTTTCTTAACTGTTTAAAACGTGATAGTGATTCGTCAAGTTTTGTATTTTGATGAGAAAATATCATTTCGATAAGTTCAATGTTCGCTATCAACCATCCTAGCAAAAATTAGGGCAGACACATGATAGGCTTGACCTTCTTTTCGAAACGTGGCCATATTAGCAGAAAGACTAAGAAGAATGCATCTTGTCCGGAGTCCATTGTGTGCATAAGCATTTATACAGTCGGAATGTGGCCTTGGTACATTGCCGGACGTTTCGCCGACATCGTAGTCGGCATCTTCAGTGAGCCTTGCCATATTTAATACCACAATTTAACTCGTAAAAGAGACAAGTCTCTCTAAATCCGAAACATATGTATATTGATGAACCGATAGAAGGACGAAGGAAAGCAAAAAGAACAGAAGAAAAACGATGGATATGCCTACCCTCCTGCGAATTAATTCGGAAGCTGTGGAACCTTCGTACAATCCCGAAGGAAAGGACAATCCTCTTCACCAGCTTGCCCAACCAACATGAAGAAGCCAATAAAATGAAGTGCTCCAAAGTCTACAGCATAAATTTCAAGTAAGGTAAACAAAAATACAGCTGAGAGAAAGGAAGGATAACCAGCGAAAGGATCAAAGAACACCAGCTACTATGCAGAAAAAGGGATACGAGAAGATAGGAGATAGCTGAACACATCGCTCTTACCAGCCACACAATTTAAATTCCAGGCCACCGAAAGCACGTAACGAAAATATTGGTCTCATATAGGAAAAACACCAGGAAATGCGAGATCAGGGAGGTTATATATATATATCCTCCTTCAAAGAAACCTGATGAACAGGAGATTAGAAAAGGGAAGAGTCAGCGACAATTTCGTGTATTGCCTGGGCAGGATCGGAGAATCAAAAAGAAAACACTTGCAGCCAGGACAACTCTTCAATAATAACAAGAGACATCACTATGTAGCGGCTCATGAAGGACAACGGGAAGTCAATAAAAGGTGATTGCAATAAGGAGTCAAACCTGGAATGGGCCAAATATTTACCCTCGGGGGTCCACCTTTGAAATAAGAAATTAAAGGGTAAAGGTATAGGTGGGACAGATATAGGTCACCAGTGTGTTTACGTGTGTTTTTGTGCATTTTTCATGTCTGTGCCTTAAGGGGATGTGACTGGTAACAGTCTTGACCATGAAGGATACCAGCCTTAGGATTAGATGGAAATGTCAACTTAAGAGACGAGAAGAGTGTGCTTTTCGTGATTCAAATGGGAAAAAGGGAAGCGGTGCATTTTCACACCAACGGTTTTGACTTAAGCAGGACACTGGGCCCCTAAGAAGGAGACACAATGCGAGTAGGGATAAGAGAGAGGATAATCGAGTCATAGGTTTGAAGTCTAGGAGTGGAAGACTCCCAAGTACTGGTGTGTGCATTCGCATTTAAATGGGCATCGTCTGCTTTAAACCCTCGAATATGGCATAATCGGGGGAGGCTTTTAGGAAGCCAGATTTCAGACAGCCAGTCAGTGATTTTGATGTTTAGCTGAGACCAATTGGCAAGTGAATTAGGAGGAGAAAAGATCGAACCAACACTACAAGGCTAAAGGAGACTACGACCAAACAGAAAACCACATCATCTTGG